GGGGGGGGGGGGGTCTGGCGGTCCTCCCCAATTTTTTTTTTAAATAAAATGCTATTTCCTGCATTCTGGTGTATTTTAATGTTTTTTAAATAAAAAAAAACATTTACATCTTTGTGTTTGCCTACATACTGTAAGTAAACACTTGATTCAATAACTGTTTTAAGAGAGCATAGTATAACAAGAAGTAGCGCTAAGCTAGTTGCGTGCAATACAGACGTGCTAGCTAAGATACTACACACATAGATCTCTGCTTACCATTACACAACCTAATAAACGATTTGTGCAAAATCAGTTTAGTGTTAACTAATCATAACAAACAAAGACTAAACTTATGCAACCAGAAGTTGCAACATAGTTATATCTATATTTAAAACACACAAAACAAAGCACAGCTAGCTTTAAACATTAACCTTTAATATAACCATTAAGCACAATGTAATTATGACCAAAAAAATGGAGGATTTACTCGCAGTTACCTTTGTACAGACGAGCATGTGGTACTTCCTTTTCATCAGCGTTGTATTCAGCTGATCATTAGGTCGGCCACAGGGCTTTATCCACCTTTTACATCTTTCCAGACTCAGTTTAGGTTTTGGAAATGTAATAAACTGTATTCCACCCTCTAAACGCTCAGGCTAACGCTGTCTGAATTACATGTTTTCCACTCACAACACTTAACCCTTTTTTTCTGATGATTTTTCATGAAATCCCTCTGATCACAAAGTGTTCATAAAGCAAAACCCTGACAACGTTGTCAGAGAAAAAGGGGGTGGAGCTCCTGCTGCTAATGGGCGTTCACTTCGAGACTTGAGATTGCTGATTGGTCAGTTGCTGATGAGCCTGTGTTGAGGATACGACTCCTGAAAAAATAAAATAAAATCATAGATTTTACTGGCCTGTTTAAGACTGCCATCATTTATTCCAGTTTTGTTCCAAATTTATTCAATATTTAGGTTAATCTAAGGTTTGAGAACCAAGTTTCCTTACAAAATCCTAATGATGTTTCTTTATTTTTCAGGGCTAAAATTTAGGGTCGCTTGAGCATCTCCCCCCCCCAAAAAAAAAAAAATTAAAAGAAAGTTCAACTCGCCTCTGCTTCTGCTTTTAGATATTGTATCAGTCTCAAATACAGAACAGTCCCTCAAACGGGTTATGAAAAGGTTGTTTTTTTTATTTTTATTAAATTTGTTCAGCAGGATTTGGTTTCATCTATGGCAGAACAGTGCAACATTGTAAAAATTAATTAAAAAAAACTGTAAACATGACAATGGACCAGTACATTTTAAGGTTTATGAATAATTTAAAACAAAAATGGAAGTTAACCCGATGCACTAATTCATTTGGTTGGCATAAAATATGAATTTGTTTCATCATATTATAGCATTATAAAATAAACGTTACACCTACGTACATAATTAGAGGGCATGTGTCAATTTTTTTGTGTGTCCTGAACTTTTTATTGCTGAGTGCTACTGCTATTTTATTTTATTTTATTTATTTTTTCCACAAGATCCAAATGCTCCACAGAGAAGTGGTGGAAATATAAATTAGGTCTCTCTTTATTAAAAGGCTGTTTTTATCACAATTGTTTGGTAAATATGTATATTTTGTTTAACTTTGCTTATTAAGTGATAAATGTTTTAGGCCTAGTTAAGTGAATAATTCACAGAAGGAACAAAACACTTAACACGTGGCCTCTGCCACTCGTTGATGATCCAATTAACGTTGTTTTTTCAGCCACTGGAATTAACTCTGCAAATATTATGTGCCTTTCCTGTCTGTTTGTCTTTTTTTCCCCTCTATAATTCCCCGCACCCTTGTTGTTCGGGTGCTGCTGTTCCCCCACAAATCAGTGCTTATTTTTCCTGAGTGTGGGCAGGCTTTTTTTTTTCACCATTTCAGTGAAATATGTCTAGCTAACAAGTCTCTAATGAGACAGAAGGAGGGTCTGGGACATTGCCTGAATTTGAGAAAGCAGAGAGTGCATAACCACAGCTCTCGTTAATTTTCAAGGGGAAACCTAATTTTGCAGGAGCCACATGGGAGCTTTTGCTTCGGAGCACGGAGCCTGGTGCCTATGCACTTAGCTGTGGCTTCAGAATTATATCCTGTTAAATCTGCTGCATGGCATCAATACGAGCAGGCAATTAGAGGGTCCGACTTGCTGCATTGAGAGGATCATTTAAATGAGTTGACTAAACTCACAGTGGGACACATGAATAATTGGCCTAATCACAATTTATCTTGATTTCCAGTGACCCTTTTTACCTTTTAGTACTTTACATATTATTTTTCCCCCCGCTGTGTTCTGCTCAATCTCTCAGGTTTCTGTAGTCAACGCTCTGGACATGCAAGTTGTTGTGTCCACTGTTCCTCCCACTTTAGTGGAAGAGAAGAAGGAGGAGCTCATTAGGTAAGACAAAAGTCATCTTTTCAAAAATGTATAAATTATAAACAAATTGCAATTCAGTGGATAACATTTAAAGATTAAAAAAATACTCAAGTACAATTTTTTAAATATCCCAGTTGGTCCTTCAAAAGATGAAAATTTAGTATTTTTAATTGTAACTTTGGGTTGCAAGTTATTTTTAATAAGCACTACGGAGTGTCTAAGCATCTTAACCTCTGATGATGACAGGGCCTGTCCAAGTGGCACCACAGCCTTTTGGATAAGAGGCTGGAAATGAAACAGGGCTTTCAGGTCTATCCACTGGAGTCTGTTCTCCTAGGCCAAATTAATTAATAATAGGCATTCATGATTCATCTCTTTTTTTCTGGCTCTTGGGACAGAGTATTTAACCAAATTAGTTCATCTGAAAGGCAAATGTGCGCTAGTACGGTAGTTGTTTTTCAGGATCCTACTGTGCCTCATCCTCACAAGCAACCCTTCTGTTTGGATTGGGGGCGGGAGAGTTCGCTTTTTAGGAGGTTTTTTGTTTTTGCACAATGCTGATGGAGATCCACAATTATGGTATTTCCGCTCAGTGTTTAAAAGGTGCATCTGTGACATACAGTGAACGCCTTTTTGTTGTTAGTTGTAGGTAAAGGTTTACAATTCTCTTTGCCTGAGAAGGGTTTTTAAAAGTAATTTTACCAGAAGCCCAGTGTGGAGAGGAACATTACTTTTAATTAGGTCAATCACTGCCAGAGAGGAGCACTTGAGATTGATGGTTATCATATAGAGCTTCTGGCGGCATGTGTCAAATCAGATTTTAAATTAATACGAACCTATTTCTGGCTTGTGCAAGTCTAAACACATTTTTTCTTTATTATTATTATTTTTTACCTCTGCCTAAAAATAACTGAGATTTTGGGGGGTTTTCATTTTAGTATACTGGAGCGCCATGTCCAGGACCAGATTCCTGGTGCCAAAGTGATAGTCGAGTCCATCGGACCACGTCGTTATGGTGACGGCTATGAGCTAGAAGACTATTCCAAGTCAGACCTGATGGTGTACGCCATTGACCCGCTCACAAACAGAGCCATTTCACGACAGGAGCTCTTCAAGTGAGTGGGTGAATTTTATTACAGAAAAATCCAGTCCACCATTGTGTTGAAATTGATGTCTTATTGTCTGAGCTGTGCTATGTGTTGTCCCTATAATATCTATTTACTTTTTCTTCTTCTTCTTCTTTTTTAACACAAACAACAAATATTTCTCAGCCTCCCCTTGGCCTCTCCACAATGTCTACTTTTTTATGACCTCTTCTTTCTGCTTTACGACTTTGATTATCCTGCAGGCGTACAATATCTGTCAAAAAAAATGAAGATACAGAATAGAAGGGAGGAGGATGGAGCGAGGTCACAGGGGGACAAAGTGGGAGTCAAGCAGGGAGTGTTTCAATCAGTGCATCAACCCATCATTCCAATACCTCCGAGGCTGTTCTTAGAGCTGGGAGACAAGCCAGCAAAACATTTTATTCCTTTTTATTTTAGGATGCAAAGTGCTCAGGGTCTGTCTGTCTGCGACAGTCTGCTAAAGCAGCAAAAAGAGGCAAAGCATCACATAAAAGTGCATGCTATAAATTTGGCTAAACCATCAATGAAAATAAAAACAAGTTGGCCTTAACTTAGCCGACAGTGTATTCCACTTAATATGGTTATATTCCCGAGCTTGTCTGTGCAACCAATCAGACAGCACTCTTTCAAACCTTCCTCCACCAGAGCATGAGCGGTCCTGATCAATGGAGACACTTCTCACTCAGTCAGCCCTTCACGCTGCTTAACTTATATTTATCTACCTGGCAGCACCTCCTGTATTTATTTCTTTTAGCCTTGCTGCAATTTCTGTTGGTCACCCTGAATAAACCCGCCCTACCTTCAAGAAGACATGGCAAGCTCTGTTCATTTCAGAAAGTGACATTCAGGATGTTTTATTTATGCACCAGACTGATCTTTAAACATCACCTTTGTGTCCTTGACCATCTAAGTGGCACCACATAATTTTCAGGCTGGAACTGAGAATGGAGCCAAGATGAGGGTTGTTCTTGTGCTATAAAACTTTTGAAAGCTCCGTTTTGATGATAGTATTAGCCTCTGGGAGAGTCTTGCTAATTTGAAAAGAAATCTGCTATATTCTGGATTTAATCAGCATCCATTCCTCCACATAACATCAGGAAAATCAGATAGATTAGAGGAGTAGGAGTCGTTATGTATGCAGCACATGTCTGGCTGCACTGAGGGGTAATTGCAAGTTATAGAGCTGCAACTTTGCCGTTGGATCACAGAAAGAGAAGGACGGCATTGTTAGTGGGATTTTGCTTCACAACTGGTCCCTGTTCCACCTTGAATGCAGCATTCACCACCATTTCAGCTCTCTGGATGATAGATTGCCAGAGTCCAGTTCATAAGCTTCAGTCAATCCTTTTTTTTTTCCACCTATAAAAAACTGAAATGACAGTATTTGGGCATGGGAGTGTGCTTACACCTCTGTGATGCAGAATGTTTGGAAAACTGTTTCGTGGTAACTGCTTGGTTTCACAAATGACACAGGGACAGCAGCAGGTGGAAATAGTATTATATTCATGTTGTACCACAATAAAATGCTAATTTTGCAATGACTCTGAGTAAAACTAATGGTAGTTGTAAAATTTTCTTGATTTGGATGTAACTTTTTGTTTGCATTTAAATTTAGGAATACAGTGCATATTTTATGACTAGTGCAACACAGTATTTTTCTAATTTCCTTTTTTTAATAACAAAGTATGCAATTATATAAGTTATGCCAGTCACCTTGAACTGATTCCTTCCCAGGAAATGAGACACGCAAACCTGTAATAACTTATATATATGACAGCTCAAGTGGCAGAACAATTAGTTGTACAAAAAAGGTATAGATATGATTAGCTTGGGTACATTTTTATGGCTTTTAGGCGCATTTAAATGTAATATTCATTCAGTTTAACTCTGCCTTGGTTTGCAAGCAAATACTGTGTGAAACATTTGTCATTATTGCTCCTTCACGAACTAAAAGAATGTCTGGGAAGCCACGTGTACTGTGGTGAAAACTGGTTTAAACCTTTTTGTTAATTGGAGGAAAACTTTATTTTTAGATAATTACTTGTAGTTTCATAACTGAAATCAGGTTTTCTTTTTTTTTTTTTGTTAATGTTAAAATATTGTTAAAGTCACTAAATTTATGAAACGCATGTAAAGGTACATTAGTTGCACCAAAGTTTTGTACAATGCAAGGAAGCAAACCGAAGGAGATTTGATCCTGACAGATAAAATTATTAAATGTCTATATAACAATTTCAAAGTGACAAAATAAAATTCGTATGAATCACAAAAGCACAATCGGGTGTTAAAAACCACTCATACAAACAGCAATACACTTGCAACATTAAAAATGATCTAGTTGTCAAAAAAGCTGCAAAAACACAATCACTTTTTTTAATAGCTTCCCGCCCTCATTCTTAATGTTTTATAAATTTCAGATTCCTTGACGGCAACGTGCTGGACATCAATAAAGAGTTCCAACCATACCTGGGCGAGGGGGGCCGAATCCTTGAGATCCGCTCACCAGATGTTGTGGCCAGTGTGAAGAAGGCTGCCCAAGCCGTGGGATACACAGAGGGAGCTCTGCTGGCACTGGCCATCATCATCATCCTCTGCTGCATCCCTGCCATTCTCATCGTCATGGTCACCTACCGACAGTCAGTACTTTTCCCCGAATATTGATGTCTCACTACTACAATTTACTCCTACCATATATATATATAATTATCTTCACCACAGTGTCAGAATAATGTGAGGGGAAATGAATTACAATTAAGCAGATCCCTGTCTTGGGAGTTATTGTGTGGCACTAATGGTTTTAGCCAAAAGGTTTTTATCCCAAGGAGAAATCAGATATCTATAATTGGAATGTAAACCATTCTTTACATCTTGCACCCCGCGGCCTATTAGAGCAGAGCCAACGCAAGCCACAAATTGTATTGAAAAGAACATTTGTTGTGGATTTAGGGAGCACATTTCCTGCTCCACCGCCACCTTTGTGTTTGTGTGTTTGCCTCGCTTGCCATGAACCTCTCATCAGACATACTGACTGCGCACTCTGCTGGGCTAATCTCCTGCTCATGCTCTGTGAAAGCTGATTAATTAACACTCATTTGTGACAAACATCTACAGCCGATTGTGATCGTCACAGCGCGTCTTCTCACTTCTTAATCAACTCTGCCCTGCACACCCGTAATAAGCCGTGTTTCCTCCATGTATATATATATATTTTTGGCTCCGTCTCTGCCTCTGATATACACTGCAGTTTGAACAAAATGTGATTTTTTTTTTTTTTTACAATCACATTAATGGCAAAAGGCTGGCAAATGTTTATTCATGGCAGATGGGTAGAGTGGTTGTCCACACACAAATGTGCACACCAAGTGCAGCAGAATACTGTTGATTAGTGACATTAGACCCTAAAACACAAACTGTGAGAGCAGATGGCACTTTGTTGGTGATGACAATGCAATGGCAAAAGTTAATGTTCTCATTTGTGTTTGTCAAACCAATTTATTGTTGCGTTACGATGAAATCCACTATGGTATTTTACACATCAATTTGTTTCCTCATGTGGAATAATTGAATTTTGCTGTTAATAAGCACTGGCAATAGGAAGGGTATGAGATTTAGTTTAGCTCTTGTTACATGTAGCTCTACACCTGCTCCTGAAGGATTTGAGGGTTTATTTCTAGGCAGAAACTTTTTTTTTTTATCTTGAGAAGTAAATGTTTTTTATGCATACAGTGAATTTCTTGTAACATAATTTATTGAGGATTTCTTGAGTATCAAACTTGTACACATTTATGGTCATGCTAATGTATATAAGTATGCAAACTAATTATATGTTTGCATGTTTGTCCTATTTTTTCCTCTTATGTTTTTATCCTTGCATCATCAGATTCAAAGAGTAAGTATGGTTTCTTTTTTTTTTTTTTCTTTGATGTGAGAAGTGCATTTTCTCCTGCCTTCATCATTCATTAATTATTTAAAGCCTGACTCGTTGTCATGAACATGACATGTAGGCTTATTTACATGTTACTTATATAATGACATGAAACAACACGGAGTATACTTGTGGGTTACAGACTCTACATGTAATTTGCCACAAAACAGTTCTTCTCATGTGGAAAATCCCCCCAAAATTAGATGTGAAATAAAACGTGACTGTTTCACTTTGTCAAAAATCGTTGATCTATCACAGTTTAACGATTAGGTGTCTTATTGTTTTACAGCATGCACGATAGTGATTTTTTAAAAATTCAAGTTTAATTATAAAACCCAATAGTTAAAAAAAACATGGCAGATAGATGTGAAAGAGATTTTTAAATCTGTGGCTGAGGATTCGTTGTTCATCACTTCACAGCTTTTTGTATAATTGAAAGCATTCTTGCACTTAAGCTGTTGTGTTGTCACGTTAAAAGCATCATTAGGCAATATCTTTGGTGGTGATACCACATAAATGCCTCCTTCAAGGGTGAAAGGGTTGCCACTCGCACTTAGAATCAACACATGAACTCATTTGAATCTTTTAGAGAAAGCGAGAGCATTTTCGGAACAAACGAACAAAAACGAGTTGTTTTTCTTACGAGATCGAAGAAGAAAGCAGAAGTGAAATGTGTTAATCAAATTTTGCATATTTGAGTTGCTTTATTTTCCCACATATTTTGAGAGGTGATGCTCTTACATTGTTGGTGCAAACGGTACCCTCTTGCACAGGCGACAGGCAGAGTGTACCAAAACTGCCAGGATCCAGATGGCTTTACCACCAGGAGGGAAAGCAGCTCCAGCCGCTGCTCCGAGCGCTAACCTCTACGAGGAGCTTGGCGACAGCAGCATGTGAGTTATGTCCCTTTGGTGTCTGTCTCTCATCCCACACATCCAACCAGTTCCAACAACCTGCTGGTCGTGTATCTGGCCGTGCTGGTTTCTTCCTCAGAGGTTCAGATTAGAAGGGTTGCTCCCAGATGAAGGCTTGGTAGTGTTTTTTTTTTTTTTTTGCTCTGCACATAGATAATTTTAGATCTGGAATATTAGCCTTCTCTTCCAAATAGCCCACCTAGCAGCTCAGCAGTGAAAGTTTCTTGCTGCTGCCTCTGACATATTACTTGCTGCACCATTGAATTTCTGCACAATATGGAAGCCACTGCACAGCTGGCGGTTAGGCTTTAGCTTATGTATGTGTTTCTAATTTGACTGTGTATGCATTTTGCAAGTCCCTCTCTCAAGGTAAAACGTGTGTTCATAAATTACTTCAAACCTTACTTTGATTAATACGTGCACTACGTTGAGTGCTTCTTTATTTTCCCCATGCGTCCAAAGCATTTTGCCATCAGCACAATTTGATTCCCTCTATAAAATTAAACGCTGCCCTGAGTGTGTAATGAAATGTTAATGCTTGTGGATAAAAGAAGTTTGAACTGAATGAGCTGCCCTGCTGGATTTAGTCATTTTGATTTACAGCATGTTAAACAGTTCTGCTACGATTTTTACTGCTTGTTGTTTAATATGAAAATAGCTTTTTAATGATAAGAGACTGGAAAGCTTTTGTAATCATGTTTATCAACCATCATTATTATTGAAGCTATTGGTTCTTGAGAATCAGAAATAGAATCACATCTTTATATTTCCAGCTTGCTCTCGTAACAAATGTAGTATGTTCCAGCATCTGTACGTTCATGCAAAGCTTGGAGTTGAACACTGATGCTCACAACTGATAAGTCAGAAAGCTCACGATGTAGAAAATTGTGCCTACTCTTCGTCAGTGCCCTCATTTCTCCTCTGCCATTTTTGTTTTTTTTGTCTTCTCACCATCTCTCTGTGTTTCTGTACTTCCACCTTGTCTTTCTGGGTTCAGACTGCAGTAAGTAATCACGCTTTTCAAACTCTGAATTAGTCTGATGTTATGCATAATTGCCACACAACAGCAGCACCCTCGTTTCCCCTCCTCGTTCTAGCTTTTGCTCAACATGTGCAGAATCAGTGCCGTTTAGATCTGTTTTGGTGTGTAGGTTAACTTATTGAAGGAATTTGTTAGTCACCATTGAACACATTTTCAGCTAATGCTATTAACTGACCTTGAGTAGCACTTTAAATGGGAGGGGGTGTTTTCAGATAAAAAGAACGGTCTGGTTGTTGAGAGATAGATTACTCCAGATGATGTGTACTGCTGACCCCCCCCCCCCCCCCCCATAGGCCACTGTCTCTTTGTGTGTGTATCTGCAACTTCCACATCATTGTTTCAGATCTCTCTGTGTTGTGACAAATTTTACAAATACACGTTTTGTAGTTTCATGCACATCATTTATTCTTTCAACTAAGCAAATATAAGCAACATGTTTATGCTATTATGAAGTTCCTAATTGAACTTTGCACGTTATTAGCAGCATATACTGTATATAGCAGTCCCTCGCTACGTCACAGTTTGTTGATCGCGGACTCGTTCTATCACGGTTTTTCAAAATAAGATTAGACATGACACACAATTGGCTGATTGATGGATGAGCCGCACGATCGGCATGGAATGTTAATTTAAAATAAATAATTTAAAAGTATTTAGCACCTGAAGAAGAAGAAGGGCAGCACGGTGGCGCAACTGGTAGAGCTGCTGCCTCTCAGCGAGCAGGTCCCTGGTTCAAACCCCGGTCCAGGGGCCTTTCTAGGTGGAGTTTGCATGTTCTCTCCGTGCATGCGTGGGTTTTCTCCGGGTACTCCGGTTTCCTCCCACAGTCCAAAAACATGCATGTTAGGCTGATTGGTAACTCTAAATTGTCCCTAGGTGTGAGTGAGAGAGTGAATGGTTGTTTGTCTCGTCTGTCTCTATGTGGCCCTGTGATGGACTTGCGACCCGTCCAGGGTGTACCCCGCCCCTCGCACAGTGATTGCTGGACATGGGCACCAGCGACCCCCGTGACCCAAAATGGAATAAGCGGGTAAAGATAATGGATGGATGGATGGATGGATGGAAGAAGAAGAAGAAGAAGGAAAAAAAATATATATATATATATATATAATTTTTTTTTCGGCTTATTTATATAATATGTATAATTTATATGTTAGTATTAAAGCATGGTTCCTATTTGTACCACATTTTAGCTAATTGAAACCAACAAAAAAATAAATGAGTTAAATTATGTCACAACACAAAGAATCATAATCAAATAACTCATTACATCATCGTTTCTTCATTGTCTTTCTATGTTTGCTTATTCCTAGTTTGTTACTTTTCACCTGTTTCAAGTCTTTTTCTTTCTTTTTCACTACCACCATTTTCCTGGAACAGGGCTAAAAGGTCTCTCTTTGAGGAAGCCAACCACCAGAAGATTCTTAGCACTTTTGCCTGCCGCACCAATGCAGCCCATTGCAATGGTGCTTTGCTTGTCAGCTTGCCCAAATCCGAGAGCAACGTGACCCTCCTCTCTGATGGCAACCCCATCACCATCCACAATCCCTTGTATGATGATAACAGTCCTCTCAGCAGTCCTTTACCCTTTTCACAGGGAGAGAGAACGTGTGAAAAGCAGTTTTCATTTTCTCCATCCCAGTCAGCAGGGTCGGGATGCGCTTGGTCAATGCCTGCTCGCATTCATAGAGGGCAGCACAGCTTTGAGGTACCACGAAGACAACTTCTTATGAATCAATCCAACTGGGAGCTGCAAATACTCCAAGAAGCCATGGGGAACAAGAAAAAGCTGACAAATTTGAACACATCTTACTTGAGTGGCAGCACAGAGACTAAGTTATCAGTTCGTGAGCAGGCCAGGCAGTTTGAGCAACAGGCTTTTCAAGAACAAACCCTTAAGCAAAATAATTACCACGGCTCACTTTCTTCAATCCTTGTCAGGGATATGGACAGCGATGATATGCTGGAGCTGACCTCAGAAACCCTGCGTTCTATCATGGATTACCCCCACAGCCCCATGTCTGTGGGCAGAGAAGTGTCCCCCAACTTTATCATTGCACAGGCCGATGAGTCACGGCCCCTATCGAGCCAGAAACCAACCCCACCTGTTTTGAGAGAGTTCAGTTCAAATATCTCCAACTACATAACAGCGCAGCCTTGTCAGATCACAGTTGAAATGATACCCGACCCACCAGAAAACCCTGCACCCCCTCCTCCTCCTAATCTGTATCCACATCCACCATCTCCACCCACATCTCCTCCACCATCTCCTCCCTTCGGTCCCCATTCCAGTCCACCTTCACCTCCCTTACACAAACCTCATCGCACCACTTTTTCCTCCCCTCCTCCTGTCTGTAAGCCAATTGTTCCCCCACCACCACCTCCGCTCCCTCCTCCCTCGCCTATTAATAGTCAGCCGCGTCCTGTCATCCAGTTTGTCCCCACCACCTTACCCCCTTTGTCATCTCTTCGTCCTGTCTCCGAAAGAAAACACCCCCCTCCTCTTACCTCATCAGACACTGACCTTGGGACAAAGAAGGAGCTCAAGGGGATTTTAAAGAACATCCAGAATCTTGCTGACATTGAAAGATCCATTGCCAACCTTTACAACCAAGTGGACAAAAACTGCAAGGTGCCCAAAATTAGCAAGAAACCACAAGTGACTGAGGAGTCAGACGATGCTAACAAACAGCAAAGCTTTGATCCAGGGGACAAGCAGAGTTCGCCAAAAATGACAAATTCAGCTTCAAACGTTCGGATTGATTCAACAAGTGCTGAAAATGGAGTGAGTCTAAATCCAGCAGAGGAGTTTCAGGACAACACAGACAGTTCTACCCCTGCTGAACACTGTGAACTTTCATCTCAATCTACAGTATTCTGACTTGTTGTTTTGTTCCATATTCTCGCTATTTCCATCTTTGCATCTCCGTGTCTGTTTTCTTTTGCTTACAGTTGTTTCTACTGATTTTCTTTGCCGTATGCTGTACGATATGCTTTGATCATATCAAAGAATTATAACTGAGTTGTTTTGGAGAAATGTTTTTTTTTTTTTTACTTTATACTTTGTGTGAAAAACACATTTTAGATGCCTGCCAGGAAATCTGCTTATGTTTGCCCCAGTGACTAGATAATATGATTACAGACTTGCATTAAAATAACAAAACAAACTTATATATTCAGTATGAGTTTGTATTTTTTTTTTCTAATTTGATTATAAGAACTGTATTTAAATATAGGGTAATATTACTATTCCAGAGAGAAAGCAGATTTGTGAGATTACCACGTTAAGCATGTGTTCTTTCAGTTCAAGGCCTTAGCGATTTAATTTTATAGCCAGAGCTATCTTAATTAAAAAAGAATAAATATCAAAGTTTAAAACTCTTGTTTTTTACTACAAACTTACTGCATTCAAAAAGTTACTACAATGACACAGAGTATTTTATTAGGTGTATTTTTTTTATTTGTAAAGTGATCAAAAGAACAATTGAAACTCCAGAGATGTATGAAGCAGTAAAAAGGGAAACATTTTATGAGTACTATAATAGTAGGCAATATCCACAAACTGTATCAATTAGACACTAAATGAGGGGCTCTTATTGGGGCCACGGTAGTTCAGTGGATAGTGTCATATAGTCCCTTGATTCTGAAGCTGCAGTTTTGAGCCCAGCTTGCATTAGGAAGAGGATTAGGTGCAAAACGTTTGCCAACAATTGCTATCGTGCAAGTTTTCTTGGTGTGGCGACCCCTGTAAAATTTAAAAAAAAAGAAAATACAATGAAAAATGAGTGTCTCATATTGAGTCAGGAGCGAAAACATTTAGGTAACCTGTCTTAATTCCTGCACAGATCCTTTCAGCATGATAAAAGTAGGAACTGGGATATTTGTTCATTGGAAAAAACTAATTAAAGAATCAATCAATCATTAACGGAGGCTGCCT